ACATCCTACAATTCCAGGGGAAATAAAAATTTCTTGCATTAAATTACAAGATTACATAGCTGTGCATAATAACTTTCTTCTTACACGCATCCTGTACAAAAAGTACTACAACTTAAAAGATAGTAGTTTCTACATGGAAGTAATAATTTATTTCTTATAGACACTACTTCATTGACTTGATGTGTGTTACAAATACGAAGTACAACACTCTTTGGGCATATTATAAACATTTGTCATTGCCCTCATGCCTTCATTTTTTAATAATTTTATAGAATAGTTATATACATGCAACAATACATAATCACTTTCTGCTTGCACACTTATTTTAATAGAATTACCATTTATCAAAAGATTCCAGCGCCTCTAAGGAATTAATCATAGCTGATCTGTTACTTCGACTTGAAGATTGGCTACTCCAAAAAACGAAATAGACTAATATCACCGTTCATCGCCTCATGCCTTCACTCTTGAATAATTACAAGAAACAGTTATGAACATCCTACAATACTGATAAAGATAAAAATAACACGATCGATAACATTTCATGATCTTAAATTATAGGTTATGTCCGTGTGTATCTATTTTTAAGAAACACCAGTTTCTACCAGTTTCTAATCGCGATTAGCAAAATCGTTGGATCTGCTAAAGGTCAAACAGAGAGTAGACTAAATTACAGGATCGGCTGTGCCCCGGACGGCTTCGATTGCTCATTAATAGATTACATTCCTGATGACTCAGAGGATCGGGCTGCGCGGTTACAGATACGTATAGCCCGAAGATAGCGAGCCGATTTTATTTAAGGAAGACAGGTCTCTCTTCTCGTAGGACTTGTTCCAAGCACGTTACGTGATGTTACTGTAAGAGGCTACCACGGTCAAAAACTACGCGCATGCGAATTCCAAGAGGGCTGACCTTTCGTACCCTTTTACGTGCTCGTGAGATGAGGTAACTGTACGTGATTTTTATTTGCATCATGTTCACAATGGATTTCCTGTGTACCCATCCTTCTCGAACGGAACGTGTACGAGTATTCATCCTGAAAGCTGAATCCTCGTTCCGCAGCCGCTACCCGATTTCAAGCGGTTAGATTCTTTCCCCTTTTGCCGGCAATTTTGAATTCGCAACGCATCGACGGATTACACTGCGGCCATTTTGGCCGGTTCACCGCACGTCGTAACATCTTTTTCTAATAGCAGTTATTTAAAGCGTAATTTATTTCGAATATTCGAAACACGACGAGCAATAGGGAACTTGAAACTTTTCTATTGACTTGAATGGCCCAAAAGTACTATTTTTTAAGATGTAACTAACGTCATTTACTTAAAATATCTAGAGCATATGGAATGATAAGGAACTTGACAATATTATATTATTAACAGCTTTTGGCTTTTTCAGCCTGAAAGCATCATTTTTTTTAAATGTACATACTGTTTTTTTTTAATATGTGGAGTATATGATATAATAAAGAACTAGGCAATTTTATTTTACTGGATTTTTGAGTCTTAAAGCACCATTTTTTAAAAATGTAGTAAATGTACAACTGTTTTAAAATTTTTACAACGTA